ATACAGGCATACTTCAGTTAAGAAAGGCTTTCACAATGAAGTTTTGTTTTGGTTTTAGGTTTTTTTAAGGCATCTTAGGCCAGCAATTTTCAACATGCCAGGCACTTGTAGCTTATTTGTGTCGATTGACTACCACTCTGTCTGTCTCTCTTTCTTTCTTGGAAACTCTTCAAACTGGTGAATTGTGAAGTAGTTGCACTTCTCAATGTGGTCTTGAGGCTGATATGAAAATACAGAACCATAAAGAGGTAGATTGGGGAGCTTGAAGTTTACTGTCTGTAGCCCCGATAGCTGAATTAGCAGACAGGTCTTGCCCTGGCACATTAGCGGCAATATGATTCTGTTTGTATTATTTTGGAATAATTTATAATTTTGCATCTGTGCAAATTGTCACACACAGTTTTATAGAAATTTGTGTCAATTTTTTGATGAGGAATGTTCTGGGGTGGAGGCAGAGGCAGATGTTTAGGTGGGAACCTTGTGTGTACCTGTCCCTTTAATTCACCTGGAAACATGGCAACCCTATGAATTACATGTAGTTTTTTAAGGCGAGAGATATTTGGAGATGGTTCCTTTCTACTCTAAATACATCATAAGGTGGCCACCATAAGTTGGAAACAATTTGAAGCCAAGTAGCAACAAAATTTACGAAAATAAGAGATGGGAAAAGTTGGGAGAAAGCAACGGATTGTCACCGAGGTCAATCTCTGACTCATACATAACTTTTCTAAAGAGTTTCTCATCTCTACTGATTGATTGATAGATAGATATAGATAGATATCTCAAACCCAAAGGGTGCTCACCAAATGGTTCATCTTCATCCTGGAAAAAAGTGACTAGTGGGGGCCGCAGGGTTCTGTTCAAGGCCTGGTGCTGTTTGACATCTTTATTAATGACTTGGATGAAGATTTAGAGAGCGTGCTTATCACGTTTGCAGATGACATTAAATTGGGAGGAATCAGAGGACAGGATCAGAATCCAGAATGATATTAACAGATTAAAGAGCTGGGCCAAAACTAACAAAAGGAGTTTCAACAAGGAGAAGAGTAGAATACTTCACTTAGACAGAAAAAAATGAAATACAAACAGCATGGATGATGCCTTGCTTGGCTTGACAATAGTACATCTGAAAAAGAACTTGAAGCCTTAGTAAACAACAAGTTGAACATGAGCCAACAGTGTGATACAGCAGCTTAAAAAGCCAATGGAATTTTGGTTTGCATCAAAAGGAGTCTAGTGTCTAGATCGAGGGAAGTCATGCTGCCTCTTTATTCTGCTTTGGTCAGGTCTCACCTGGAATACTGTGTCCAATTTTGGGCACCACGATTCAAGAGAGATATTGACAAGCTGGAAGGTGTCCAGAGGAGGACAATAAAATGATCAAAGGTCTGGAGACCATGCCCTAGGAGGAATGTCGTAATGAGCTGGGTATGTTTAGCCTACAGAAGAGAAGGTTGAGGGGATGCCATAAGGGAGAGGTACGCATTTTCTAATGGAACAATTCATAAAATTGTGTGTGTGTGTGTATTCACAATTTTATGTGTATGTGTGTGTGTATATATATATACACACACACACACACACACACACATATATATATACATGCATATACATATATACATATATATATCTCAATGTATGCATGTATGTATCACAAAGGCTGTTGCTAGGTGAAGTGGCCCTTTGTGATATTACTGAATTGGTGTTGCTAGGTGAAGTGACACCCTGTGATGTCACTGGGAAATAAAGATGACATGTATAAGGGATGAAAGAGCGACAAAGAGCATTCCCACTGTTGCTATAGCATGGCGATATTGTGAGGTAAGCCTTCTCAGAGATGGAGAAAAGAAAAATTAAGTGGGCAGCGGCCCCAACAACAGTGGAGCAACAGCAGGTACATACACTAGTTTATAATAAATAATGTAAGAAAATGGAAATCCAGGCAATGCTGGAGATATACACTTTTCCAGGCACAAATGTGATAAATTCTATGAAACATTCCTACAAATGATTATTGCACTGAAGACCATTCAAACAGCACAACAGAGAAGACTGAAATAAGTTGAGGTTTCATCCTGTGCTGTAGGGTTGCCAGGTGTTACTTATGATGCAGATGTCCCTTTTAGGGCTAGTCCCTTACTATGAGGGATGTCCTCTATCTGTTGGGTGGAAAACCTTTTGTTTTATGAGTTGAACAGGATGCCTCACCTACTCAAAATTCATACTTTGCAATATGGGCTCTTCATAAAGACAGAAATAATAATTATTATAATGTGAGTCACCTAAGGGCTGAGAAAAGCAGTATATAAATAAAGTAAATAAATCTTCAGGAAATTTACAAATTAGTTTCACACTGTTGTGCCTCAATGATATGGAATCACAGGCATTCATGCCAAATCTTCCATCGTCCCATAGCTCTGAGCCATGGCAGTTCAAGTGATGTCAAACCACATTGATTTTATGGTGTGGATGCAGCAGTAGACCAGTATTGAGTCCACTACACCACACTGGCAGAATCATCATCATAATCCTCTTCTTCCTCCTAAGAATATTCCACACACACACAACGTACCATTGCAACTCAAAGCATCTGTATATCATTTATTTATTTACTTATATCCTTTATTTATTTACTGCTTCTTGGCAGGGGGATGGATTGGATGGCCCATGAGGTCTCTTCCAACTCTATGATTCTATGATTCTATTTTAATCGCAACTTTCTCCTAACTAAGGTGGCTAATTATATGTTTGACCAACTCTATTGATGGTGCAGTCAAACACTGGTTAGATCAGGTAAGGGCAAAACTCCAGGTGTTTTGGACTTCAACTCCCACTCCTAACAGTTGATAAGCTGGCTGGGATTTCTGGGACCTAAACACCTGGAAGATCGAAGTTTGCCCATGCCTGGGTTAGATCAAACTAAATTAAGTGGAAGCAGGCCCGTAGCCAGGATTTTGATTTGGGGGGGGGGGGGAGGGGGCTGAGTCTGAGTGAAAGAGGGTCTACCCTAGCAAACCTTTTGTATCATTACCCCAATACCCCCATGCATATGGGATATATTGAGTATGGTGATCAGATCATGATATGAATAAACATCACAGTTTAAATAATGCACCAGTAAGGCCTTTACCATGAGAATTTTTGGGGGGGGGGGGCTGGCCCCAGCCCCCCCCCCCCGGCTACGTTGCGCGCCTTTATGGAAGTCCATTGCCTGAGTTCTATGAAGAACGTTGGTATGCCTTCTTATTGCGCATTCTGCTGAATTCAACCTGCGGTCGCGTGGAGCGCCCCATAGTCGCCGAAGACCATCGCCTGAACCCAGACATCAATATGACTAGTATGATCCAGCGCCTCGCCATTCATCACTGTTCAACTAGGGTGACTGCCTCGCAAAAGCACTCTGTAGTCAAACTTATTATAATATGGTTTTTATTCCTTCATGTCTCGCTGGAACACCTCAGCAAGCGAGAGTCCAAAAGTGGCAGGCTCAAACCCAGAACCTCAACCAATGGCTGATACCAAATGAGAGACTGCCCCCTGGGCAGACAGAAGATTGGGCAACTTGGAAGGCGCTGAACAGACTGCGCTCTGGCTCCACGAGTTGCAACCTTAAGGAATGGGGCAACAAAGTGGAATCTACTACATGCGAGTGTGGAAAAGAGCAAACCACAGACCACCTGCTGCAATGCAACCTGAGCCCTGCCACATGCACAATGGAGGACCTTCTTGCGGCAACACCAGAGGCACTCCAAGTGGCCAGATACTGGTCAAAGGACATTTAATGGAATACCAAGTTTGCAAACTTTGTGTGTTTTTTTAATGCAATACAACTGTTCGGTCCGCTCCTGACACGATAAATAAATGTGGGCAAGCAGATGGCGACTACTGGATGGCATATGTTCTGTATCAGAAACTAGAGCTGATGTGGTTTATCTAATGCAGTTTTCTGAATCAGCACCCCAAGTAACCAAACTAAATCTAAAGTTGACCAAAAACAGATTCGTAACCCTTTTGGTATTAACATAGAAGAGTGGTCCCTGGTCAAAAAAAGGTTGGGAACCACTGATCTACACAGTAGAATTAATACAGCATGACACCACTTAAATGGCCATGGGTCAGTCCTGTGGAATCGTGGGAATTGTTGTGATTTATAAGGCATTTCACAATCTCTGCAAACGACTGCTAGTGCCCACCAATATTCAATAGCATTGAGCCATGGCAGCTCAAGAGGTGTCAAACTGTATTAATTTTAAGAGTGTAGACCAGGCATGGGCCAACTTCGGACCTCCCTCCAGGTGTTTTGGACTTCAACTCCCACAATTCCTAGCAGTTTGCCCATGCCTATCTTAGATGCATCCGAGGCCATTTTTTTTTGTCGTGTCAGGAACAACTTGAGAAACTGCAAGTCGCTTCTGGTGTGAGAGAATTGGCCATCTGCAAGGACGTTGCCCAGGGGACTTCCGGATATTTTTTGATGTTTTACCATCCTTTTGGGAGGCTACTCTCATGTCCCCGCATGAGGAACTGGAGCTGATAGAGACTGTGAGAGCCGTTCAGCAGTGGAACTCTCTGCCCCGCAGTGTGGTGGAGGCTCCTTCTTTGGAAGCTTTTAAACAGAGGCTGGATGGCCATCTGTCAGGGGTGGTTTGAATGCAACATTCCTGCTTCTTGGCAGGGGGATTGGACTGGATGGCCCATGAGGTCTCTTCCAACTCTTTGATTCTATGATTCTCTATGATTCTAGGGAGCTCCCTGGATTCGAACCTGCGACCTGTCGGTCTTCAGTCCTGCCGGCACAGGAGTTTAACCCTCTGCGCCACCGGGGCCAATGGGAAGGAAGCGCCGCCTGTCACTGTCAGATAAGGGCATAAGCCCCGCCTCTTTCCGCCTCAGCAATCGGGAAAAGGGGGCGGGGCTTATATTCTCTGACAGTGACAGCTAGGAGTGCGCGCTCCCGATGGCTGAGGCGGAGCCTATGCGTGCGTACGCACGTACGTAAGCGCGTAGCCGGGCCGCCTCACTCCCCCTCGGCGATGGCGGCCGCAATGGCGGCCTCGCAACGGGATCCTGCAGGCGACTGGCAGGACTTTTCGGGCTTCCAGCCCGCCGGGGAGGGAAGCGGGGCCCCGGAAACCTCGCCGGCTCGGGAGGAGGGCTCCTGGGGCGACGGAGGCAAGGGCTTGGCGGCTAAGCTGCCGCTCTGCTTCCAGCCGCCTCAGCCGACCGCGCCGACGCCTCCAGGGAGCGGAGAAGGAGAAGCCCGGCTCCCGCTGCCGCCGCCCCTCAGCGAGCAGAGCGCCCTGCAGGAAGACGAGTGAGTGGCTCTTTCCCTCAGGCGTTTCGTGGTCGCTTCTCCCATTCCTTCCCTGCCATCCTTCCCCGCCCAAAGAGCCCTTGCCGGCCTTTCCCGTTCGCCAGGCGTCGTGGACTTCAGCTCCCAGAATTCCTGCTGGTCCGCCAAGCTGGCTGAGGCTTCTGGGAGTTGAAGTCTCTTAGCCTCTCTCCATCAGGCCCGCGCAACCTGTGGCCCGCCAGGTGTTTTGGACTTCTGACAAGTGGCTAGGGTTTATGGGAGTTGGAGGGCCACAGGCCTGCTCTTCACTATAGAATGAATATAATAATAATAATAATAATAATATATTATTATTATTATTATTATTATTATTATTATTTGTCCCACCCTGGTCATACCACAGATATATAAACCCATTTTCCTAGTTCCAACAGACCTGACTACCTCTGAGGATGCTTGCCATAAATGCTGACAAAACGTCAGGAGAGAATGCCTCTAGAACAGGGGTCCACAAACTTTTTAAGCAGAGGGCCAGGTCACAGTCCCTCAAACTGTTGGAGGGCCGGATTATGATTTGAAAAACACATGAATGAATTCCTATGCTCACTGCACATATCTTATTTGTAGTGCAAAAAACACATAAAAACAATACAGTAATTAAAATGAAGAACAATTTTAACAAATATAAACTTATTAGTATTTCAATGGGAAGTGTGGACCTGCTTTTGGCTGATGAGATAGGATTGCTGTTGTTGTTGTTGTTGTGTGCTTTCAGGCTTAGGTTGACCCTGAGCGAGGGCCGGGTAAATGACCTTGGAGGGCCGCATCCGGCCCCCAGGCCTTAGTTTGAGGACCCCTGCTCTAGAACATGGCCATATATCCCGAAAAAACCTACAAAAACCTATAATAATAATAATAGTTTTATTTCTTATCCTCTGCTCCTCATGGCTCGAGACTGGTTACAAAACAATTAGAATACATAAACACAGCAAAAACACTACAAATACACACACTAAAACGTATTAAGACTTCAACACCTTAATATACAATCTCATGTTGGATACTAGAAACCCACCCTAGGTCTGTTGGCTGCTATAAACCATTTTATACTTTTAATTGAGATTTTATTACCATGTAAGTGCATTTGTTGAGATTTATTATGTTTATTTAATTGCTTATTTTTTTGTTAGTTATTATAAGTTTATATTGATGCTGTTTCGATTTGGTTTGTTGGTTTTTTATTATGGCATTGAGTGTTTGCCACTTTTTGCATGGACACTGCCCTGAGTCCCCTTGGGGAGATACAGCGGGTTATAATTAAAGTATATTATTATTACCTCCATAAAAGTTACGTACCAGAATGTATCTCTATGAAATACATATTTAAACAGAGATTAAACAAAGGGCATGCCTTAAAATTCATGTTTATGTTTAAAGGCTGTCAATGTAGGTCTACCAAAGAGACAGGTCTTCACTTCTTCACTTCTGTCTTAAATTAAAGGACTGTGTTGAAATTTAGTCTCCTGTGGAATTATGGACATTTTCAATCAGAAACAAATTTCAGCGTATTTGGCTTCCAAGTTAAGTGTGTAGGAGTCTGCAAGCTAATGATGTGAAGTTTCCATAGAAACATGGTCCTGGAACTTTAATCTGCAACAATTTAATATGCATGTTTGTCACAATATTTTAAACTGTCTTGCTTACTAGGCATATCTGTCATTCAGTTATTTCTTCACAAGCACTGGAATGATGAGAGATCTATGAGTTGTGCTCTAATATACAACTTATTTCCTGTTTTGTTAAATAGAGTACAAATGAACCCCTGATAAATAATAAATGAAATATCCCCTTCTAGACAGAATACTGAACTAGACACATTCACAATGTAATCCAGCAAAATCATTCTTAATGTTCTAGTTAAGGAAAGAAACTTAGAAGTGAATTTTGACTGATTCCTCCATTGCACACATTATTTTCTTTGGCTAACAGTAGATGCAAAATTAATTGTTTCTGGTAACAATTAATTTGCACATTAAATAGCAAATATTGATGGATATGCAGCTAATACAGGTGCTCCTGTATCGCAGACAATTCTTCATTGAAGTTTATTAGGAGTGCATTGTACATAATTTGGTTGGACATAATTGGTGTAGGTCAGTGATCCTCAACCTGTGGGCCCCCAGGTATTTTGACCTATGACTTCCAGAAATCTCAGCCAGTTTACCGGCTGTTAGAAATTCTGGGAGTGCAAGGCCAAAACATCTGGGGACCCACAGGTTGAGAACCACTGGTGTAGATAGACCAACAATGTGTACTGTAGGGACAGCTTTGGGGTGCCTCTAACCAAAGTATTTAAATGTATACTGTTGATAGTATTTTTATGACATTTAGAATAGTGATTGCTGTATACTTTGAAAGCTGGATGTTTATTACTTAAATTTTGTCTTCAGGATTTGGAACGCTCTGACTGACAATTATGGCAATGTCTTGCCAGTTGACTGGAAATCTTCCCATACCAGAACACTCCACTTGCCAACACTGAATCTTTCTGAAAAGGGGGTTAGTATTGTCTTTTCTGCTTGGAATTGTGGCTTAGAAAAAGAAGATTGCCTCACCTTCTAGTGAAGTTTATTGCCATAAATTTCTTCATATTCTGATTGCACCATATCTTTCCTCTTTAAAATATATGTGACAGATACCCCAATACCTAGTTAAGGAATACAAATGTGATAAAAGTATGTGTGCCTTTTATGCTTCACTGCTTTCTTACAGTTGCTGTTCTGTATATGGTTGAATATGTGCTCATTTTATAGAAAATACCAGGATTATCTCTGGTCTTTGTCAGGGTCTCTGACATGAGAATCAGAACATCTCATTCTATAAAAGCTGAGGTAGTTAGTGAGAAGGCTAAAGACATTGAGAAACTACAACTCCCATGATTTCATAGCATTGAACCATGACAGCTAAAGGAATACCAAACGGCATTTATCCTACCATTTGGGTGCACCTCTAGTTTGCTAAAACAGATTTAGCAAGAAGTATATTTACTAATCCCTGGTAGACCTTATGGTTTCTGAATTTATTTTTGACTAATGTATGTTTGTTTGATTGATTGTAATTCTCCATCTGCATCCTCCGTCTTAACACATTCACTGGGTATCAGGTATGCACATTCCATTTAGTTGAGGGTGAGGGCACCTAATTCTTAAAAGTTAAAAGACTTCCTTTAGAATGTTTAGAAAGCACCTCCTCCACAATGTATGTGTAGAGAAAATAAAAATATTTTACTTTAGTGATAATCAAACAATATTTTATTATTATGCCTGAACCTCAACAAACAGATATTAACTCTGATTATACTTAATGAAAATAAGTTAGCTTCAAACTATAGATTGAATCTCTAAATCATAATTAAACTTAAACTACACTTTCTCTAGACTTGAACATGTTATAACTGACCTGAAATTAAGCAATAGCATTTTCAGCTGAGAGGAACTAGATCTAAGCTGTTGGAACCAGGGGACAATTTTGGATCTACCAAGCTTTGAACTGTGTGAACTTACCCCTCCAGCAGCGCAAATATTTCTCCTTTCTGTACCTGTCTGATTGTGAGAGCTATTCAGGAAGCAGCTATTCATTAACCATTTAATATCAGCTAAATAACTGAGCAATCATTAAAGTTGTGGAAACATGATAAATCCATAGTTATGTACATTTCATTGATTTGTTGAGTCAACTCTCATTAGCACTTACCAATTGTTAATCAAAGCCTTTTGTTATTCCTGGTTAAATATTGGAGAATAATAGGCTCGTTTACAAAGTTCATGATATTCATCCAACAGCCTAGGGTTTTTTTTTTCTTTAGAGAAATAACTGAAGAAAAAAAATTAAAAAGACTGCTGACTTTTACTTTGTCCAAGGGAGAGTTTTTTTTTAAAAAAAAATATTGGATTGTAAACTACATTTTTTTCATTGAGTACAAACTAAATTGGTCTGCAGAGAACATCCAGTACAACTATATTAAGACTAGAATGCAATACAGGCAAGGCTTCTTGCAGACTGGGCTTATTTAGCTTAGGAGTGGAAATGTCAAGTAAGGGAAGATGTGATAGAGGTTATAAAATTAAGAAGTGTATGGGGAATGTGGATAGGAAGAACATGTTTTCTGAACTGAAATGATTAAAAGATTCAGGAGAGATCAAAGAAGGACTTTGTTCACGGAACCTGTAGTTCAGCTGTGGAATTTGCTACCATATGAGGTAGTGACAACTGCCAATTTGGATGGCTTTACAAATTTGTGGAGAATAGACCTAGCTATGGCTGTTGGCCTTGATGGATAATATACCCCTTTTAGTGTCAAAGGCAGCCTGCTTATGCATTTTAATTTCTGGGAAAATAAGGGTGCTTTCTGGGTAGCTTAAAGGTGTTGACTGACCGTTGAGTGAACACACTACATAGCATTTGGCTTGATGGTAATGATTCAGGCATGTCAGAAAAAAATCTATCGTCCACAAACCTAATTTTTCCTCTCTTAACAAATCAACATAGCTGCCTATGTTTTATGTGTCCTTAGTACTTCTGTGGCTGTTGTTAACAAGTTCTTGGAGGGTATCTCCATGCATTCTGTGAATGCATAGCAGAGCTTGGCTATAAGTCCTTTTAGACATTTTAGGACCCTTCCGCATAGCCAAATAACCAAGGCAGATAATCCACAATATCTGTTTTGAACTGGTTTATCTGAGTCCACACTGCCATATCATCCAGTTCAATGTGGATTATATACATCTGTGTGGAAAGAACTTTAGTCTGTGTGAGGGATCCTAACAAATCATAAGATACTTGGGTTTGGGGGTGGATATATGTAATGTGTGACTAATTCCTGTTGTTCACTTGTGTGTGTCTTTCCATGGCTGTGTAAAATCCACACAAGCAGATTTGTCAGACGTAGAAAAAAATGTATGTGAATGAACAGTCTCAGAGAAAGTTCAGGAAATAAGACTGTCTCCAACACTATTTACTTTTGGTCACCAGGCTGACTTGAAAAACTAATTCCCAGATTTTAAAAATAAGTGTAAAAGCGATTAAAATAATTTAATCCCTTTTATACACTGGTAATAATAAGCAAAGTTTATTGATTAGTCCACTGACCATATCAATATTAAAGACAAAAACAAAAAAGTACACAAATAATCACTATCCTAAGACTCCCATAATAATAAACTAACATACATTAAAACTTGATTAAGTTAAAAGGTAATTAAAATATCATTAAAATGCCAGGGTAAAACTTCATACCACAAAAGTTAAAAACAAAGGTTAAAATATACCAGCTATTACACAATCCCAATCCAGTTCAAATATCTGCATTACCCCAGTCACCTCCAGATACACAGTTCTCAGCTTTGTTGCTTTATGAAGAAAAAGGGCTGTTTGGTGTGTTGTCTTAGCAATCTGGCCAGCCATTAAGAATGTAGTTTTGATATGGAGATCCCAGTGAGTCTTCTGTGTAATGAATGGTCCAAGGTATTGATTTCTCTCTTTCTTGTACAAAATACAACTAAACAGAACATGTGTAATATCCTCTACCTCTGTCACCCCACAGATACAGAATCATTCGTTATAGGGAACTTGGTTAAACCTTCCATGTTTAACCGTTGTATCTGTCTGTTGAAATCTGGTTCTAGTGAACACCCTCCTTAGATATTTAGGCATTTCTGTTTGAAAAGTATGTTTGGAGTGACTTAGCCATTTCAGTGAGCCGGCTTTATTGAGGATGACAATGTCTTTCTGAGCCTCTATATCCTGTATTCATTGTGCCACTATTTTTGGATCCAGTTCTTTTAGGAGATTTGGGTATAGAATTAGAAGTCCACAACTCCTAATGTATTTTGTCATTTGAACTAGCCAAGAGGCCTGATTTTGGTTTTTGGTCTGCTCTAACAGGCACAATTTTGGTAGTCTATCATTTGTCATGGCATTTAGTTTTAACCAATATTCATATGCCCTAATTTTGAATAAACCATCAACTATATATACTCCTGTTTCTGCTCTCACTGCTGCAGCTGAGGTCCTTTTATCCCAGAAAGTTGTGCAGGTGCTGTGCTTGAGATTGCTCTAATATTGATACCTGGTTTAGGCCCCAAACTTCCGCTTTGTACAGGAGCATGGGGGTAACCTTAGCCTTATATACCTTTTATACACTGGTATTTTAATTCCAGTTTCCCTTCCATTTTTAAAATCTACTTTAGCATGTTTTGTGTTTTTATACTTAACTCTATTTTTATCATACTTTTTAAAAACTATTTCAAGGATGGGTATTTTTTTTTCAATGTTCAGAGAACTTGCTTCATAAATGTTATAAATAATACTATATTTCTTTGTTTGATGGGAAGGGTTATGAGCTATGGAATACAATGCAACATATTTATTCCCTGACTTTGTAGACCTTAAATTCTCAGGTATATTCATTTAATTTTTTAAAAAACAAATACTTTATCCAGCTCTATGGTCTCTATTTTTCAATTATATTTAAATTCTTTCCTAGGGTAAGGCGATGAATATGTTTTAAATTTTATTTGGCTGTGTTTTAACAATTATTTGTTTTTAACTATCATTTTCTCATTTCTTTTGTTGTGCAGGTTAATGAAAATTTGAACCTTGATTTATCAGATGATGAAGAACTAAGAGAACAGCTAGATATGCATTCTATCATAGTTTCCTGTATTAATGAAGAACCTCTTTTCACAGCTGAACAGGTGAAGCATTTGTACAGCTTTGGTGCAGCATTTTAGCATCAAGTCTTTATATCTTTTTAAGAAATGCTAAATATGTATGGAGACATATATTTTGCATTCCTAATGCAGGTTGAGTATCCCTTGAGTTGCTCCAAAAGCATTCACCTGGATAGCTTAGATAGTGACACTATTGCTTTATGATATTTCATTATACACAAACTTTGTCTCATACACAAAATTATTTTAAGAATTGTCTATAAAATTCCCTTCCAGCTAAGTCTATAAGGTATATATAAAACATGAATGAATTTCGTGTTTAGACTTGGTTCCCATCTCCAAGATAGCTCATTATGTCAATGGTGTCAAACTTGTGACCTTCCAGGTGTTTTGGATTTCAGCTCCTAGAAATCCTGGCCATTGGACAAGCTGCGTAGGGCTTCTGGGAGTTGGAAGCCGAAACACCTGGAAGGTCACAAGTTTGACACTTCTGCATTATGTATATGCAGCTTTTCCAAAATATATAAGAGACAAACTACTGCAATTCATGTCAATTGAGAGGTTTCTCTAAAGAAAATATGCACTTTGTCCCAAGTTTTGAACTGATTTCAGCAAATTGCATAATTCCCAAGAATTAACTCAAGCCTTTGCTAACATAATGTAGTTTCATTTGGATGAAATGTTAATCAAAAGCCTTGTGTCAAAATCAGACATAGATTTAGTTTCTAGTTTATACTGAATGGAAATAAGTAGAAAAAAAATCTATCTTCACTATTATTTTTGATGTTCTCTAACTGTGTGCATGTTTTCAAAGGTGATTGAAGAAATAGAGGAAATGATGCAGGAATCTCCAGATCCAGATGATGATGAAACACCAACCCAGTCAGACCGCCTCTCCTTACTGTCCCAGGAAATTCAAACACTCAAGAGATCCAGTACAAATCACAATTATGAAGAGAGTAAGATAATCTTGTTTCATAATTTGTTTTTTATTATTTCCCATGAATTTCTTACAAAGGAAACCCTATACATTGCTTTACACACATATTCTTATACAAAACCTTTGTTTCCTGCTAATTATAGCTCCTGTGATGTATTTATAGAAGCTAGGACCTTAAAAGCTACATTATATATTAAATATGGATTAAGTAGTTCTTTCTGATCTTCAGAACATAATTTCCTAAAACATGATGGGAGTTTTCTTAACTTTTTGTTATTTATCAAATTCTAGAATTTTTTGCAGTGACCAGGAAGGCTTGCCAGACTTAGGAAGAAGCTATTAGACTCTGTAGTGCTACAGTTCAGTGAAAGGCATAAAGAAAGGCTTGTGTAACTGCCTTTTACTTTCACATATAAAAAATATTAGTAAAAAGTCTGTAAATCAAATACTACCATGGTATTGTGTAATGTTTGCTTTACATACTAGAAAAGAGTATTATCAAACTTGAACATTAGCTAGCTGTTCTTCAGCCAGTATCTGATGCTGATGGCTGAAAGATTGGAGGTCTTTAGCAACTACTTTTGCTAAAATGAATTTTAAAAATGTTCCTACTGCCAGAAATCTTGTGGATGTGTTTAAGCAATATATTGTGATATTTTCTGGTGAAGTATGAAGAATTTTTGTTGTTGTGATAACTTATCTGCCTCAAGAAGATGTTACAAGAAGGGTACTTTATCTTCCAGAGCCTCTGTTACCTTTCTCCCAACAATGTTTCCATTTTCTTCTTTAGCAAAATGAAAGGCTACTCTTCACTTTATTGTACAAAAGAGGGTAGTGCATGCAGACTATTTTACTCTGTTTTCCCAAAAATAAGATCTACCCTGAAAATAAGTTCTGACATGATTTTTCAGGATTTTTGAGGCTGCTTCAAATATAACCCCTACATCAAAAATAAACCCTAATTACAATTAAAAAAAAGTCAATTTGGAAAAATAAGACATCTCCATAAAATAAGCTCAACACATCTTTTGTGGCAAAAATTAATATAAGATCCTGCCCTGTTTTGGGGAAAATAGGGTAGATCAAACACACTGCTGCATCCTCAGAAGGTAGACAGCACAAAATCTTAAGACATTTTAGTCAACTTAGTGAATTGAAAATGTTGTAGATCCATTTTCTGCAGTACCAAATTTAGGTACTTGCTAAGTAAACTACAGTTTAAACTCAGTTTTATAAAATTCTCTTAACAACACTTTTAAAAGATACCTATTCAGATAAAACACAATGTAATAGCATAGGATTTTTAAAACTTGAAATAAATTGTCTTAATCCAGCCCACACACTGTGATGGGTCTTTTTACTCCCTGTAAGAAGCTATGGTGGTTTTGTGGTCCATAAAATTGCTGACACTTTTTGGAAACAAACTGTGATTATTATGTATTCTTTTAGCTTACATTTCTTTCAGTATGTGGGCTATAAAACTTAAGCTTAAATACCATAGTGTAAGTAATGACACGAGTTGGCAGTGTATATAACAATAGTTTGAAAAAGTGGAGATCATTAGATAGATCACTAGCTAGCTACCTTAACTGTTTGTAATTGTTGAAGTTGTTTGGGCTGCAATCATGTGCATACTTATCTGGGAGAAATCTCAGTAAAAAAATGTAGACATGCTTATGAGAAAACTTGTGTGGGATTGAACTACTAAATTGTATGGGATTATGTCTGGGTGGGAGAATGTGTACTTCAGGAGGCTGCAAAGGGTAATGCATCAGGTACATGCCAGCGTTGACTACTATTATATACCACCATTGCTTAAGTCTGTAGAAGGAGTGTTTTTCACGGTAATTGCATAGATCGCTACATTTGTCCTGTGGAATGTACAAATAATGAATTAAATTGTTGTTAAATATTGTTGTACTTAATACAAGTTTCCACCTTTTTTACAAATAGGGGTGAAAAAATTATCTGTGACTGAATTAAACGATCTTCTAGAAGAGATTGAGACAGCCATAAAACACTACTCTGAGGAGCTTGTACAGCAGTTGGCACTACGAGATGAGCTGGAATTTGAGAAGGAAGTGAAGAACAGCTTCATATCTGTTCTTATTGAAGTGCAAAACAAACAAAGAGAACAAAAAGAAATAGCCAAGAAGAAAAAGAAATTGAAAAACGGCAGCCCTCAAAATGGCAAGCAGGAGAAAGGTCATATGCCTGGAACAGTAAGAACTCTGTCTTTCTGTTAATCTATATAGAATTGCTTTTACGATTTTAATTCTATATGATCATCATCATCATTTAATAACTTATTAATCGCCCTCCATCCGAGAATGCTCTAGGCAATTTACAGCTAAATTATAAAAGATAAAATACATACATACAAAAATTAAAAATTAACAGAGATCGAATGATCTAGCAAAAAAGCCAGGTCTTAAGTGCTAGAGTAAAAGGCCCTAAGTCACGCATGGCTCTCATGTAGGGCGGCAAGGAATTCCACAAGGCAGGGGCAGAAATAGAAAAAGCCCTGCGTCTGGTCCTTTCCAAGTGATATGATAACTTTCTATCCACTGCTAAAGCAGTATCAGTAATGCTATGTTTCTTTTTCTTTTTTACAACAATTATTATTTATTTTAATTTAAAATATATTTTAATATGTTTTTATTTATGTCCAAAAGGGATCTCAGGTACACATAATAATAATAACAACAAAACAAAAGCAGGCAAATAAAAACATAAAAAAACTGGATTATACACAAGTCTATAATAAAGTTGAACAAATGTTCAAATATAAGTCTATTATTACACACATTGCTGGATCTTCTATCCATTAGATCACAAGTGAAGAAAAATAACTTTTCCAATAACCAAGTACCAGGTTTTAGCAGTCAAAGGAGTATGGAATTCCACTTCCATTGGCCATTCATTAAATTCCAAAAATTGGATAAATAATTCATAATAACATGTGCAGATCAATAATTGTAAATGCCTTTTTGGACTGATGTTTAGATATCTCCTGTTTCCCAAAACATGTATTCATGAACTTTCCCAAATATGTAATCATGAAAAGGCGCTTTTAAAATAATAAATTACAGTTATCATTCCAAGGCCCCCCAAAATTAGTTAGTCATTGTTGTGGTCACAGGATTATTGTTCAAAACAGCTGAAATAGTTACTCTGAAGTACTTCTAAAAACCATGTAAATGCTTTAAGTTTATTCAGACGTAATTGTCTTTCCACCTTGTTTTTACTTCAGTACTCTCAGGAGATCATGAAGCAGCGGTATAAACCTATATTTAACCATGTGATAGTCATCCAGCACCATTTGGTCACCCAAAAGTTACTGTTGCTACATTTAGATCTCAAAGCTTTTCCAGCAGGTCATTTTAGGGGCAGTCAACGTAAAGGTTCTCTGGGTGATAGCTGCCACTCAAGTTCTGGCTGGTTGAATTAAATGTCCCCCAAAAGACCAAAGGGTATCGGCCATTCTTATACCTACATGTATTTGCATAGTTATGTTCTGCTCGGGTAACTCTCAGTGGGCATAACTCCTCTTATCAAAACAAGTGATGGATCTTTCCCTAAGATTTTGGTAAGACATTGTTTATAAGTAATAGACCAAACACATCGACTACACTTCAAAATACATTTACATGTATAGTTTACTTACCTATACATTTAATTTGTTAACCTTAAGAGAACAATTTACTAAGTAAAACATATTTTCAAGAGTTAACTTTTTCACAGGTTTGAAAATTTACTGAGGTGAGCAGCTAAAATGATCTATAGGCTTAAGTAAGTCTTTACGTTTGGAGCTCTTTACATTTGAAAAATCTAGGAAGAGGGGCACAATAGAGGTATATAAATGTATGTCTAGATTCAAAGTGATTAATGAGATACCATTTTGCACTATCATCATTCTAAGAGTGAGAATCATACCATGAAGCTTGGTAACAGAAAGACAGATTAAAGGAGCATGGTTAAAAATATGGAATTCAGTACCATGAGATTTAGTGATCAGTACTGTCTCAGGTATCTTTAAAAGACTGTTGGGCACATTCTTTACACTGAAGCTATCAATGATTATTTCTCATGATGGCTATGCTTTCATTTCTTGTGTCAGAGTCATTGTGCTTCTTAATATAAATTAATAGAGAACATGAGCCGGGTAGTTCTATTGCACTCATGTATTGCCTGCAGCTTCCTATAGGCAGATGGTTGGTTACTCTGTGAAAAACCCATGAGACCAGATAGCCCATGATCTTCCTCAGTGGTGCATGCTTTTGTGTTCAGCAGAAACAAAGAACAAAGCAACATAGGTGGCAGAAAATTTGGGTACTTTTTTCTTTAAATGTCAGGAATATTAATATTAGCATTTTGAAATGATTCTAAACCTATTTTTGTGTGACAGCCTGCTGCAGATTGACAATCAAGGATGTATTATTCTTCCTTGTGCCACAAGGACTGGTAGTTCATAAACTTTTAATTTAAGCCAGGAAATCCAAAGAATTTGTACAGGGGAACTTGCCTGGTGTTTTCTCTACAATGTCTTTTATATTTGCTGATGATCCACGTTTCCCTAGGCTGATGTTGCAGGATTTCTCAGAATCTTACTGAGTACTTACCATGTCAGTGGTGACAGGTCTGCTTAGTCTTCTGCAAAAAGAACAGCATACAATGACCTGAAAGTGAGGAAAAAAGAGCTATAGGCCATATATACCCTTCGTCTTTTTTGTGGGTCTCTACTCCCAAAGCCTGGACAACCCTCCTGTTATGAGAACATTCTCAGATGATCTCCAAATGCATCACTTTATCTTATTCCACATGCATAGCTAAAATTGGCTTAAAATAAAAACAGAAGTGACATACTTCTGAGATTCTGCAAGCATAATGCTGCAGCTTGCCATTTTGGTCAGTGGGTGTTGAGCATCACACGATTCTTTTTTGCCACTGGCAGAAGTTATTGTTATGGGCCAGGGGCAAGGAAGACAAATAGCATGAAGCAATCAGGACACCAGGTAAGCTGAAACAGAAATGTTTCAGATGTAACTTTTTATTGCCTGTAATTTGGAATTCTATCCAGAACAAGGATAGTGTGAAAAAGTAAAAATCCCAGGCAGTAATTTCCTAAAATACTCAAAGTTTGGCATTTGTGTGTGTGTGTGTGTGTGCATGGACTATTGTATTCAAACACATTTAAATACCGTTATCTATATAGAAAAGAGTTGGCTCATAAAATACATGTTGGTTTTGAAACTTTTGTTATATGATGTGATTTATGTAGAACATACCTTATGTTATCCCTATGTTTATGATATTGCTTTGATGGTCTTATTTCTAAATTCTGTAGCTGCTTTCTTTTGCTAAGGAACAAAACATTTGAAAAATACTTTCTTCCTTGCATCAATTACAGTTGCACTTACTCATTCTAACATCTTGTCTCTTCTGTTTACTTGCTTGCCTCCTCAGTAAACCCTAACTAATAGGCTTCAAATTTTTCTGTCCCCCCTCCCTTTTTCTTGCCACATTCTTGCTTCCTGTAGCGCTTCAGCATGGAAGGAATCTCAAATGTCATTCAGAATGGCTTCCGTCAAACATTTGGAAACTCAGGTGGAGAAAAACAGGTGCTGGGCTATATTCTGACTGTTTTTCCTCTTGTGCTATCCTGTCTGTCCTTTTCCATAAATCAAGATTTTCAAGGTTGGCAGTTGTAGCGTTTTTGTTATTCAGGTGACCATAGTAGCATGGTTCCTCACACTGTCTCTACCTTCAGGGCTAGGAACTGTATGCAAAAGGTCTCTATCTGTCTCTCGCTTTCCCTCCCTTCCTCCCTTTCTCTCTGGTAGATAATAAATATAGTCTTGATATGCACAGAAAAATTCAAGAAATGTACAATTTCCCCTCAGGATTCATTTAACTCCTACAAATAAAATACAGGAATCAGCATAATAAATACTTGGAATGAACCTCATGCATCAGAAAGTACCAGTGAAGGTCACACTAGTATAAATATTCCAATCTGACAAGAAAGGAATGCATAAAAACACTATCCTGTAGTTGTAGCATACTGAAAGATGTTAAAACATCTCTTTTGTGGACAGAATTGTATCCTTGAAATATCACAGTTCTTGAGCTATTTTTTACATTTTAAACTTATATCTGTGTTCATGGGCCAAAAATTATAGGCGTACAGTATATTAAGTATATAGGTATCTAAATGTCTTGCAGGCACCACATCCTGTCTAATCTTGGAAGCTAACCAAGGCTAGCCCTGATTAGTACTTGGATGGAGACAGCTAACAAATGCAAGGTGCAATAGGCTATATTTCAGAGAAAGGAATTTGCAAAAAAAATTGCTGAAATTCATGGGATTTTCATGGCAAAAGAGGACTTGGAAGGCATACACACATATAGTATATCAAAGAAATATCCTTTGGTGAAAAATAATAAAACTAACACTACATCCAGTAAATAACAAATAACATTCTTGAATATATATTTTGTTTATTACATTATAGATATATATTTGTTTTTCTAATGTTGCCCATGTTTTCCTGCACTGTAATTTAACACGAAAAATATTTCTATATATTGCTGGTCAGAAAAAAGACAACAGTGCTATTTGTTTACATGTTGAGTTTAATGAACAACTGTCCTTGTTTTAAATCTGGTGGTGTGGCTGTGCAGATTGTTTGGAAGTCATAATCTTCTTTTAACCTAAATGAGCTTTCATTTTTTTAAAAGTGAGATTGAGAGTAAATATTTGTATTTGTATAAGCTTGTAATATCAATAGTGAGCTAATGTCATGGCATGACTCCATATAAAAGAGCATGCTGTATGTCTGTCTTATTTTGGGGTTGTATTTTTTAAATTTCTTGAAGACATTGGACAGTAGTTGTTGCCATTAGCACCACTCATGTAAGCATTCAGAAGAGTAGTATGGAAGACGAGTGAAAAGGTTGCAATATAGAGTGAAGGAAGCAGGAATGATAACAAGAAGAAAAAAGGATATTTTCCCCTGCTTTTTTCCATCAATTGACTTACCAAGCAGTCTTCCTCTTGTTATTTATTTAATCCCGATATTTTCTGTCTCTATTCTCCTGCCACCATCTTCTATTCATTTCTTGTTAGTTGTTAGATGACTTCATACCACAACACCATAATTTCACTCACACGTAACTTCATTATATGTCAGAAAAAAATCAAACTTGGCAGACACTCTTATTTTCATTGAAAATAAAATGTAAAAAAAAAAGACTTTTGTAAAGGCCATCACTTGTCACATAAATTGTAGTTTTCCTTCCTTTGGGTTCTGGTTAAATTAGAGTGATCTAAACTTCACTTCTTTATTCCAAACCTCCCTCAAAGTTTAATTGTGTGTTTAGGGCAAATTTTCAAAAATAAAATCACAAAGTTCCAACGATACCACAATAGATCATAACTAAAGTAAGGTTTAGAAAGAACATGTGAACTTTTGTACTCAAGCTTTCTGAAATGATGTTAAACATTTCCAAAATAATTGGAAATACAGATATGGAAAATTCAAAGCCATGTATTGGGAATACATACATAGGTTGAAATCTTGATAATTGGAAGGATTTGAACTGGTTGCTTGTATGTGATAAAATAGTAAATATTTTTTTTAAATTGTGCTTTTTCTATGGACAATGTAAGCAACTACAGACAGTCCCCATTTCCTTTCATTCATTATAATGAATGGAAATTTCATTACAATTTCCACTACACAGGCAGTCTCCATGTTATGAACAAGATCTGTAGGTTTGTTCTAAGTTGAATTTGTATGTAGGTTGGAACCTGGTGCATTTTTAAGTGTAACCCCAGCCAAATATATATACATATATTACCTTTGGATAGCATAGGAAAGGGTTAAAACCCCTGTGGTGTTTGTTTTGCTGTCTGTGGCCCTGTTCAGAAGATTTCACCTCCCTTTCCGTCCCTGTGATAATTTGATTTAGAAAATTTGGCTTCGTGTGGAAACAAGGATTGGTGAGAAAGCTTCAGTGGAGAAACCTTTTTTCCCATGATCACTCTTTCAGGGCTGAATTTCCCTTCCGAGGGGTAGACTTCCTGTGGTCTCACCCCTGTTTGTAACTATGAGTCGTTTGTAAGCCAGATGTTTGTAACACGGGGACTGCCTGTGTAGTGGAAATTGTAATGAAATTTCCATTTGTACACAAATTGAAGGCAGTGAGCGGCTTACTGTATCCAGGATTGCTGAATGTATTAGACCACTCATCTCTGACCAATTACAATGCCAGTGTCACTGGTGGTGATTAAACGTACTTCTAAACATGACTGGACTGATGATACAAGAGTCCACATGAGAGAAAATGAAAGATCAAGCTGGCAATTGCTACCAAACCACTGCCAGGGAGGTATTTATAATAATAGGTTGTGTGCCACATTCTCTCCCCTTTAAAAACGGGGCTGAAAGTGATGGAAGGCTATTCTTGTAATCTTGACATATATTTGTATTGCTGTTTGTTAAATATCTTGCTTAGTTGGCATCACTGATCCTTTCTATAATCCAAGCAACACGTTATTTCCTGGAGTCATTCCAATTCAGACATATTTAAGTGCAGTATTCATATGGAAAAAGTTACAGGCTATTCTACAAATTCATCTTTATGACTGGCATTTAAAGGATATGTTGATTTATCTTTATACAGGTTTATGTTATGCCAAAATACATGTTCATCATATTCTAGCTCAGGGGTCCTCAAACCTTTTAAACAGAGGGCCAGGCCACAGTCCCTCTAACTGTTATAGGGCCGGATTATAATTTGAAAAAAACATGAATTCCTATGCACACTTCACATATCTTATTTGTATTGCAAAAAAACCTTAACAAGAGAATACAATAATTAAAATGAATAACAATTTAAACAAATATAAATGTATTAGTATTTCAATGAGAAGTGTGGGCCCGCTTTTGGCTGATGAAATAGGATTGTTGTTGTTGTGTGCATTCAAGTCATTTCAGACTTAGGTTGACCCTGAGCGAGGGCCGGGTAAATGACCTTGGAGGGCCATATCAGGCCCTCAGGCCTTAGTTTGAGGACCCCTGTTCTAGCTATTCTTTTTCTTACTGTGCGTATGATCACTGTCAGGAACAAGTGGCTTGGAACAAGGCAACTTAAGGAAAATACATTGTGCAATATACAGGGACTTGCTGGCAATTAACATCATGGGCCTCCATTTTTCTGTTGCTTTTTGAAACATCTCATAATTTGCTTTAACATTTTATTTAAAACATTTATATTCTGCCCTTCTCACCCCAAAGGGGACTCATGTTTTCATATATGTTGGATGATGTTTAATGGGCCTGGATGGAACATCCCCTATTTACTCAAATCTAATGTTTACCTTTTTTTGGCTAAATTACCTTGCCAAAATTAGGGTGCGCATTAGATTTGCATCATTTTGTAATCTTAATGCTGAGCCAAAGCAATAGGGAAATCTGTTCAGAAGTATATGGAGCTCCTATTTGAGGGACATCATATCTAATTTAATTGTCATGGCTCAGTTCTATGCAATCCTGAAATTTGTATTTTGGGGAGGCATTGGCATTCTTTGGCAGATAAGGCTCGAGACTTTGTAAAACTACAAGCCCCATAGCATTGAACCAATGTAATTATAGTGGATCCATTCTACAGCACAGATGCATCCCAAGGTTTTCTTTTCTATTGATGGAAGCTTTGGTGGTATAACACTTTTTGTTTTTCAAGAAAAAGTCCTAAGCAGACAGCAATTGTAGAAACTTTTTTGGCAAAGCAGGAACTAAATATTGCCTAGTAGACAGTGAGAGCCATGGTTGAGTTTGAGGTAGAGGCAGCTGGGCATTGGCCCAACTTGAGACATTTTCAGCATCTTCAACCTCAAATTACGAATATAGTGTTTAAAGGTTATTTTTGCAGTTGTCACAATTGTTTTGCAAGCAGATACCATTTGAGGGTGCATCTTCACTGTAGAAATAATGCAATTTGGCACCGCTTCAATTGCCATCGCTCAGTGCTATCGAATCATGGGAATTGGTGAGGCACCAGCGCCCTTTGGCAAAAGAGTGCACTTTTTCCTGCTGTGCATTATATTTGGCAGCATTATTTATTTATTTAGTTAGTTAGTTAGTTAGTTTCAGGGTTTTGAAAATTGAGGTACGCATTAGATTCAGTGCCACATTAGACTTGGGTAAATACGGGTAATTGCTTTCTTTGCAGTATGACTGTATACAGGCAACAGAGTGAAATGTTGCATCTACACATATATAACATTTACTATGAAAAATATTGTGTACTAATCATAGCTTTCACTTGACAGTATCTGACAACAGTTATTCCATATGAGAGGAAAAGTGGACCTCCATCTGTTGAAGATCTGCAGACGTTAACAAAAAGTAAGATATTTTGAGCTGCTGTGTTTTGCGTCTATTCTTTTTGTGCTGCCCAGATGCTTCAATGGCTTACATTTCTTCCAGTTGAAACATTTTGTTGGGGCCATCTTTTGTTGTAAAATCTGAAATTAGTCAAGAGGATTCATTTTATTCATGCAAGTTTCCAATAAACCGTAATGTTATTTACTTAGATTAGATAATTCATCATTGCCCATGTCACCCACAGGGGTTGTTTCCTTTGTTTGTTTGTTTGTTTGAACACTGTATTCTGTTCTTCTTTCGGTGAAAGACCCCAACTGACGCATGCAGGAGTATGCTTACCATTAGTATTCTCAAATGTTGCTTAGCTCTAAGCAAACAGGAAGGGCACAGTTAACATATGTGTAATAATCCAAACTTCTGCAAGATTCCTGTCTCGATCCTAAAGTAACAATAGCAATTAAAACTATTTCTAGCACACAGTTGTGTTAAACATAAACCATCTTCTTTGAATCAGCTAAAACATGTCCTCTCCAGTAATTATGACAAGCTACTTGGCAAGAGTTACAGCACTTACTTCTTGAGTATTGAGACATCAACTTTCTTCTGAAAGAACAAGATTAAAAATGCCCCTTCATCATTCAAATGGGTCCAATGGATGACCCAATATAAAGAGTTAATGGTGTTGTTTTCTGCAGACTAGTTGAAATGTGATCTCCTTTTCAGGGAGAGACAGCAAGACTCCCTCCCTGATAACTATTGTATGGGAGACCTCAAACCATTTATTAGATTCACAGCTGCTCAACTATAAATATCATTTCTGTACAAAACAGTAACTCATGTCCTAGAGTTTATGGATGCAGTTTATGCACATATAAATATTATGAAATTTTATATATGCTTTTTTCATTGAAGTAGCAATTTCTTTTGTGGTATGATAAGCTTTTAATCATAAAATTGTATCTCTTTTAAACAAGACTTTGAGAAAATTAGATTTAAGCAGGTTAAGAACATCTTGGTTGTATACTTTCTTCTTGCCATATAAATGTTTACTTCAAATTTATTATTGTATAGTTTCAAAGAGGCAGCTTCTCCAGAAAAGCCGAAGTATTTTGTATTTCATGGTTTTGTTTGTATTTTGGAATACTTTTATTTGAATACATATATTCCTGCCTACAGATACTCATGGGTCCCCAAATCATAAAAATGTATTGGGCTGAAAAGGGTTGTGAGTGGAAAAATGTCTAAAAATCCCTGCTACAGACCACACCCTGTTTTGGTATATTGCGACAGTTTGGGGTTGTTGTTTTTGTATTTTCATTATTTCTAATCTTGCAGCACTCAACTGAAGTGTTATAAGGTTTTTGCTTGGCAATCTGTCATTTTTGTTTTCTAATACAGAAATTAATAATAATACTCCTGAAATTAGATCATCATGTTCACATTTTTTGAATGAGTTTAAAAAGCAATTCAGAATCTATGCTCTTGGCCAGGTTGTTCATATAATTTATCTTTTTCCTTCTTCCAACCACACATGTGCTTCTGACCCTTGTAGCAGTTTCTCAAGTACAGTTTGTTTTCTTGGACACTAGACGCTGTGGCATAATCAAATTCTTGCTGAATTTGGAGTGGGATGAGTGCTCTAACAGCATGAATTTTAAGCCTGTAGGCATGAATGTCTATTGCATTCCAAGAATTCTTTCTTGTAATAAATGCCATTTGAATGAAAGTGAATCAGGGCACTATTACAAAAAGATGTTAGGCATATTCTTACTGACATGCATACAAGCTTTATTCTTTTTCAGAAAGATTTTGGATCAATTGTAAATATCATTTTGAGGCGTTACTGTCTAGTTTTTGATAAGTTGAAACGGAAAAAGATGGTGTTTGAGTTTTTTTTCTGTAAAATAAGTTGAAGAAATTTTGTTTAGGTTTTCACTTCAATCATAACTTTGGATATTGCTGAAAAGTGCTGAAAATGCATGAGTAATGTGTACATCATCACTTTAATCTTCTGATAAGGATTCCCCAGTGGTGCAATGGCTTAAACCCTTGCGCTAGCAGGACTGAAGACCGACAGGTCGGAGATTCGAATCTGGGGAGAGTGTGGATTAGCTCCCTCTGTCAGTTCTGGCTCCCCCTGCAGGGACATGAGAGAAGCCTCCCGCGAGGATGGTAAAAACATCAAAACATTTGGGCGTCCTCTGGGCAACGTCCTTGCAAACAGCCAATTCTCTCACACCAAAAGCAACTTGCAGTTTCTGAAGTCACTCCTGACATTAAAAAAAAATCTTCTGATGCTGAAGAAGAATATGCATTCTCTCTCTGCATTGTAATCAAACTTTGATTTTTAAAGAAATACAGCTGCCCCCCCCCCCCATATCCATGAATTCAGCCATCCACAAATTCAATCATCCACAGCTTTATAATAGTAAACAAAAATCCCAAACGCCATTTTGCCATTTTATATAAGGGACACCATTTTACTATGCCTTTCTATGTAATGGGATTTTAGTATCCAGGCAGGATCCGGGAACCAAACCCCAGTGGATACCAAGGAGCCACTGTATAATTAGCTATGCTAGAAAACTGAAGGCAAAGTGAAACATCCTCTTAATTACTTTGCTGCCCATTAGATTGTACATTTACTATGAGTAGAAGCTACCCTAAATATTTTTTAAATCATTTTTAGAAATAATTCCTAGGGTGCTTGGGAAAGTAACCAGTAATTAAAGTATTTCAAATAAAAGAATAGTGCAGAAGCTGGTCACAGCTATGGAAGAGAATACTTCCCTCTTCAAAATCATCCAAGGTGGGCAAAGACCATGTCTATATAATAGGACAACAACTAAAGGCAGATATGATGTACATAAGTCTGTATCCTGCAGTTTAAACATATCATCTTTTCTAAAACAGAATTGGACTTAGAATCAATTGTAAAAATTCAGCACTTTCCTTTCCCACCAAAAAATTCCATACTAGATGTGGATGAAAGTGTTATATTTTATTATAGCTTTCCTTGGCTATCTGAGATCAGGCAACAACTACATAATTGCCAACTGATGTCCTGTCTTTAGAAAGCCTTTTAAAAACTTTCACATAAAATTTAAAAACTACCTAATTCATCAATTTCAGTAAAAGTCTCTCAGGTATGATACAGTATGTCCTGCCCTTTCTTGATAATAGATTTTCAGCGGGAACATTTTTATTGGTATATAGTGTGGATCATTTGGGATCTCAGTTTGTTACTTTTCCTCTTTATTTGAACAAGATTGTATTATCAGTCAGTTCTCCACAGTGTCTCTGTTTGAAGCTCATTTTGGCAAGGTGGCACCAGATTATTTTTCCTGTCCTTTATATTGCTTTGTTTCACATTTTTTTCTGTTCTTTTTGAAAAGGTCCAAGAAATTGAGGTTCCAAAGATATGAAGGGCTGGTAGGGGTGTTTTCTCTCTCCCCCCCCCCCCTGACCTTTTATATTTGGTGCAGAGAGTGGGGGGAAGTTGAGACACTTAATCTCAATCAGAAGAGGAAAGTTGTTGTTTCTGCTTTCATTGTTTAGCAGCATATGATTGAGAAAACCTGAGTGTATCTAGCTAAGATTTTTGTCTGGTATTACAGATATTTACTAAAGAGAAGTGCAGACAGTAAACCTACTCTATCTTCCCATCATTTGGGTTTTTTCGCCCTCTTTCCTTGCTAAGTTAAAAACAGTTAAGGGAGAAAAGACGTAATAGTTGTTCATTGCATTATCACTGATAGAAACAAAAAGAGTCTGAAAGTGTCCCTCAACTCCTCTGGCATCTCTAACCACAAATTCCTTGAAAATACCATGCATTTCCTATAGTAGTGTACACCACTACTCATATCGTCAATTATTCATACGGACCATTCTTTTGATAGTCTTGTGCTCTACGATTCTTTTGGAAAAATTCCTGTTATAGTCACCTGGACTACTGAAGAATGTACTAAACTTCTGGTGAAATATGTTGTAGCAATGAAAACAGACAAGGTATAGGATGGAAAGAAATGGGTCTGAATTTAATTACACATCCCAGTTAGAGCAGAAGCAGTGGAATTTCCTTAAGCATTGGTTTCATAGAATCATAGAATTGGAAGAGACCATGTGAACCCTCCAGTCCAACCCCCTGTCATGCATAAATAGATCTCTGGTAGTCTGAAGGCTCCAAGAAACTTCAGGGGGTCTTGTGGTATTATGAGAAAAACAGCATCTTTGAAATTATTGAAAGAGTCTGTCCTTTTCACAACCTTTAAATGAAGACTATACTTATCAGAGCTGTGTACATTCAATATTTTATCCATTGTTCTTTTGAATAACGGGCAGGGGGAATTTCCAGAGTGGAGTTCAGTAAGTGGCATGTTTATATCAAGAGTAATGATCTGAGAAATTACCTTTTCCATTTTTCATCTCCATATTTTAACAGTTCTTCATGCCATGAAAGAAGACAGCGAGAAAGTGCCAAGTTTATTAACAGACTACATCTTGAAGGGTAAGTTTAACAAGGCCTTTAATTGAACTGTGGCAGGAGTTGGGGATTTTATCATCGGGATGGAAGAGGGATAGATACATGGGGGGGGGGGCTATGATTTTGATTGAAAAATGGGATTTTACTGATTGTTGTTTTATCATGGTTTTATCTATTTTGTTCTCCTGATTTAAGGATTTCATTTATTATTTATTTATTTCAGACATTTATATCCAGTCCTTCTCACCCCCGTAGGGGGACTTAGGGCGGCTTACAACTTTAATGTTTGTATTCTGTTTGTAAGCCGCCTTGGGTCCACATTGCAGAGAAAGGCGGGATAGAAATATTCAAAATAAATAAATAAGTGCCTCTATTGCCTGCTGTTGGCTTATTTATGGGATGGAGGTAGATTTGGTCGCCTTAATAGTCATATATACTAACCAAAAATATCACAAGGTTTTCTCAAAAGATTCATCTAATCATATTATTGGATGAAGTGTGGAAGCTAGGAGTTTTTCCAGATGCTTTGTCTTATTCATAACACTGCTCAACATTGCACAGACTTTAAGATGCAGAAGCTTCATTATCTAGTCAGATTATAAGTGTTATAACCAGTAATTTTGACGAATTTATGTTTCTTAGCAATCAATACAATGCATGACTTGATATCCAGTCCAGTACCCAAAAAACAGGTTATCCTTTCTGAAGCCTTGTCATCCAGTTACCAAACCTCGCTACAGGGCTTTATATTAAACATAAAATCTAGATTAGCCAATCGAGATAAGGAATTCCTGAGCTAAATTTCATCCCTCTATTTACCATCTGCAAGTAACCTGCTTTCATTGAAAATGTCTTGCTAGAGATACAGTTGTACCTCCGCATTTTCTGTTTTGACTTCTGCAGATGTGTTTATTCACAGATTTAAATTGGGGTTTTTTTTAAGGAATCTCTATGTCAGTGTGATTCTGTGATCAACTTGCTCTGGTCATGGTTGAGAACCTAGACATTTCAAGAGAGAACACCTCTCTAGGAATCTCTAGGTCAGTGATTCTCAACCTGGGGTCCCCAGATGTTTTTGGCCTACAACTCCCAGAAATCCCAGCCAGTTTACCAGCTATTAGGATTTCTGGGAATTGAAGGCCAAAAACATCTGGGGACCCCAAGTTGAGAACCACTGCTCTAGGTTCACCAGTGCAATTCTGTGGTCAACATTCAAGTGATGTCAACCCCAGAGTCCTGCTAAAAGACCTAGAAATTTCTAGAGATGTGTCTGTGTCCCTAAACCCAGCAAATGTAGAAAGCTGACTGCAGTCTATATCTTTTTACTTTTGTATAGATGCACATTAGTTTTGCAAGCATTTTCATGCTACATTAGTCACACTTTACAAGTTTTCTCCACCGTCCTTGACAAGAAGGATTTTGAAAACGGAAAATTTATAGTAAGCACAAATATTACCTTTAAAGATAGCTCAGTTTTCTCAAGCTAGAACCAGACTAAACAAGATATTTTATCAAAACACATTTGTTCCCTTCACGTTTAAAATGGGCATGGGGCTCTGTGGTTCAAGTTGGGTTAAAGTTGGGTGATTTAGTGAGATTTGGCTACCGAGGTTCTGTTTCCAGTCAAGCTATGAAAATTATGTTAAAGGACAATCTTAATTTTATTACAGGGCATACCCTTTGGTTTTAAGTAAACAATTTGTTTTAGAATTAGCAGGTTATTCTAAAGAAGAAGGAAATATATGTGCTTTTTTCAGTTTGGAAACTTCAAACCTGACTTCTTCATTTGCTTTTGTGTTGTGCTAGCATTGGTTTGAAAGCTGGATTGCTCTGAGGTTTGTGTCCTAGATGTTAAACAGGAATGAGGAATATGTAAAGGACATGTCTTGGCTCCCTAATCTATAGCCTCTACTTTCAAGAGAGAGAAAACATTTTCTTCTGAGTTTTTGACATTTCTTCTCATTAGCACTAAAGATAGTACCTGAGAAATCAGCAAGGTTTTTTTTTCTTTGTTAAGGAATTAATCCTTTGGTCGAAGACATGACCTTCTATTTAACTCATTTCTGTTAGAAAATTAGATTATCATTTGTGTGTGTGTGTATTTTATCTATGGATTTATTTGTGTGTGTGTTGAAAATGAGATTCATTTAGTTATATGTCACAATTACCATGAATCTGGTTACACTTCTAGACTGTAGAGCTAAACATTCTAGTTTTATTAGCTTGTATGTGACAGTTTTATTAGCTTGAGTTTGAAATGACCCCATCCAATAATGCTCATAAAAAAGTATCTTGATTGTTTTGCAGTTCTGTGCCCAACATGAAGAAAGCTGTGAAGAACAGGCCTACTAATTCCTGTGAAAAGATGTTTTCCAGAGTTTGTTTGGCACTATATTGAATTCAAATGTCACATTCTAATGTATTTACTACTTCTGTTGTCTGCTTGGACTTTTAAATTCTGGAATATGTCCTCTGGAGCATGCAGAGCTCATCCATTTTTTTCCACTTCAGTGTGGTGTATTTGAACAAAAAACAGATTCTGTACAGTTTTATTCACCTGCTGTGTTGTTTTCGGCTTTTAAAACACTATTTTTCACTATACAGCATGTAAAATTATTCTCCAAACAATCGGCTTTTATGGAGAAAAACTAAACTTTAGTGTAAATAAAAGAAACCTATTAAATTTACCTGAATTTTAATAAAAAGTATAATAGATTCTGATATTAAATGTGTAAAATGGATCAAAAGCTGTGGCTGCACTGCAAAAAAAATCCATTGAAGATTTTCATTGGAAATTCTAGAATGGTGTTATGAGAACTAGCACTGATTTTTTAAACAGTAACAGCAGTATTATTGTTTACTGATTCTTGTGAATTTTTCAGAATTCTCTAGAAATTAAAAAAAGGTAATGTGTGTTGCTTTTCCATACAGTTTTGTTTGTTTAACAAGAATGCATTTTGCTAGGATGTTTTTTAGTGCAATCCTGACAGAAATGAATGGGATCAGCGAAAGAGCACAGTGCACTTGCCTTAGCACTGAGGTGGAGAACTGCAGAGAATTTGAGGGCCACTCCTTACTCCTCAGACCCCTCCCACCCAAAAACCAACCTCTGCGCTTTGAGAAACACAATTGGAAATGGCTTCCAGTTTCTGGTTTCAGCCATTTGAGTTTGTAGCGCATGGCACTCCTGGAGATGCCTAAAAATGACTGTTATTTTGTAGAGGATTTTGAGGATAGTAACCATTTGGAACTGTGTGCAGTTTCTCCACCCCTGTCTTAGGAGAATTATGAAGGAGAAGTTTTAGAACAGGCATGGGCAAACTTCAGCCCTCCAGGTGTTTTGGACTTCAACTCCCACAATTCCTAACAGCCAGAGTTGAAGTCCAAAAAACCTGGAGGGCTGAAGTTTGCCCATGCCTGTTTTAGAAGGTGTGATCTAAACCGTTGTCTCATTGCTTCTATTTTCTGTATTTTATTTAAAGGTAATGTAGCTGGATATGTATCCTTTGCTGCTATTGTACTTTTTAGTCCATGTGTTAAATGTTTGGTCAAAATAAATTTTATATGTACTATGTTAATGAACACTTTTAAAAAATGTGTTGGCCTATGACTTATTATTTACATAGTATTGACTCTTACATCATCTCATCTTGTGGGGAGTGGGGAGCTTTAAGCCCATGGTGGTTCAAGAAAATCTGTACTACTTGAAAATGTTGAGGCCGTGAAATGAATAGTAGCAGAATCTATCTGAGGTTCACCTAGTTTGTTCTCCAGTTTTCGGAATCTTATTTTCTCTCAATATATGAGAAGACAGTATATGAAGTAGCTCCTCCTATAAATTGTATAGGAGTGAATATACTCCCTTCAGTCCCATTTCCATCCTGCCTCCATTGAAAGAACGAAGTTTGGAAGTGGTTCCAGAATTAGCCTGCCTCCTATTCAAAAGGTGTCTCCTCAAGCAAAACAGTTTACTAAAAGATGGGATCCAGAACAAACTTAAATGAGGGCCTGAGTGCCCATTTGAGCCAAAACCCTCATTCACAGATGTCAGTTTGCTTTTTAATATTTTAACATCCTTTTTCATATTACAAAGATATATTTTGTATTTAACCCACATTGCTAAGTAAAAAATACAACAATATAAATCACTGGAAAGTACAAATCTAAGTTGGTATCATCAGCAATCAATTCTTCCATTTATTGTGGTACATAAAAATCTTTTTTTGCACTTATGAAGTTTCACTACAAAGATGGCAACTCTGGGCAGCATATGTACTGATTTGTTCTTTGTAATAAGAAACCTCGTTTTTCATCCATTTTATGTCAGACTAATTTCACTATTCAAGGATACAATAAGTCAAGACCTCCAGTGATGTAGCTCCACATATACACAAATCTCTCATAGGCTGGAAAATTCCCAAAATCTTCAATGTTGAACTATTCATTACTACTGTGCAAACCAAAGACAGATAAAAGCTTTCTGATATTAAATATTTTCCATATTGATTATGACATTTTGCACTTGGTAAATAATAATACAAGAGCGGTTGACTGACAGAAGAGGTGCTATGTCATTTCAGCTCCTATATCAAATACTCATCCAAAGATGTCTTTCAAATTAATTCATTCCCTGGAAAAATGTTCCTGGAGTGTAACATTTAAAAAATTCTCAAACAAAATTATCTGACACCAGATTTTGGATCATGGTTGAAACTATTCTAAACCAGCCTTCCTCAACCTTTCTATCTTTGAGACACTCTTGACATAATTTCCAGGTCTCGGGAAATTCCTGTATAAATTATAGAGAAACCTTGCCTAATGTTTATTAGTTATCATAATACTGTGTTGAACTCCTAATCAACCTCTCAAGGAATCCTACTGTTCTTGATTGAGAAACCAAGGATTAAACATTCCTTGCCCCCCCCCCCCTCAGTATCACAGTAGGTTAAATTGCTGAGCTGCTGAGCTTGCTGACTGAAAGGTCAGCGGTTTGAATCTGGGGAGCAGGGTGAGCTCTCACTGTTAGCCCCAGCTTCTGCCAACCTAGCAGTTTGAAAACATGCAAATGTGAGAAGATCAATAGGTACCGCTTCTGCAGTCATGCTGGCCACATGACCTTGGCGGCATCTCTGGACAACAGCAGTTCTTTGACTTAGAAATGGGAGATGAGCACACACACACCCAGAATGGGACTCGACTAGACTCAATGTCAAAGGAAATCTTTATCTATCAGTCTCTAACTGTATTAGCAAGACTGTATCTTAATTCTGGTAAGATCATGCACAGTAAACGGCTTATCACCTTCTCAGTTATTGAGAAGTTGATAAGACCTAACCCTCTGCCCTTCAAATTAGCAAAATTAATTGGCTTTTCAGCCCTCCAGAACTAGATACATTGTTTTTAGGTATCATACAGCTGAAAAACCAGTGTGTGGACTGGTTTGAGCTTCGAACTATGTCCCTGGAGACCAGGATTTGGATCTTTCTTAGCCATGGAAACCCAATGGACTAGTCACATTCTCTCAGCAGCAGAGAAAGGTAAAAGTAAACTTCATCTGAAGAAATCTTCTCAAGAAAACCCCATTAATAGATTTGCATTAGGTTTGTTGCTGTATAAGGGACAACAACTTTACAATTGTAAGGTTTTTTAAACCTTACAATAATTCTAATGCTTAAAAGATCTATTTACAGCTTTTATACAAGCCATAGATTTGAATTCTTTGTTTTCTTTTGTGGAACCCAAGAGATTATAAAACCATAAAAATGGCTCCAAGATAACAACATAATATGCTGTTTGTATGGGGTCTTTTCCCCTTAGATTTATCAGCATTCATGACTAAATTGTTTTTGTATAGAAAGCATTAAATTGTCTCAGGAAACTCATGCCTGTGTGGGCTGTTGAAAATAATAATAATAAAAAATTCTACATAAGATATTAGATTACAAACTCAACCTGAATCTTGGGCATATTGTTGCAGCAATGGGAAAGAAATACAACAATATAAAAATGTTGCTTATGCAAAGATACAAAAATATCATTTACACAAAAATTTAAAATAAAGGGAGATAAAATGCAACCTTGCTAAAGTGCTTGATACATAGAAACTTTATCTGTAAGCATGCAATTCAGATCCTCAGTGCTGTTTCTGTACAAATTGCTTCATTAAAAATAATGTTCTCAGGTCAGTGAGTTTTTGTTGTAAATTTATCACAAAAATTACTTCTGTTTACAGAATGAAAATATACACTTAGATCAATTTTTTGTCGTGTCAGGAGCGACTTGAGAAAGTGCAAGTTGCTTCTGGTGTGAGAGAATTGGCCGTCTGCAAGGACATTGCCCAGGGGACACCCGGATGTTTTGATATTTTACCATCCTTGTGGGAGGCTTCTCTCATGTCCCCACATGGGGAGCTGTAGCTGATAGAGGGAGCTCATCCGCACTCTCCCCGGATTCGAACCTGTCGGTCTTCAGTCCTGCCGGCACAAGGGTTTAACCCACTGCACCACTGGGGGCTCCAGTGATCAATGAATGCATTAAAGAGCTGCTCACAATTTTTGTATGTATATAAGTGTATATAATTACGAGATGAAATGTAAAATGATTATCAGTAGCAGACATTCTTTACCTGAAACCTTCCATGAGTACACAGTTCTATACTTCCCAATCCTCAAATGCTTGAAAGTGGCATTTTACATCAATTTTGTCTTTCAGACTAATTTAAGGGTCCTAACCATTATCTTTTTAAAAAACTGAAACTATGATACTTTGTTTCCAACCTTTTGTATACAGCGTTTTGTAAGAATGAGCAGCCAGACTCGCCGCTTCTTAATGATTTTTTACAAGTGATTTGAGAAGATATCAAGAGATACAGAAGAAGGTGTGTGCGCGCGTGTGTATGAAACACTCTCCAGGAATTTTTAAAACCACGATTCAATATTTAAATAAATTTAAATGTTCACAAACTGAAACAGCTCCTGAAATATCTAATTTTACTTCCCTCCATTTACCAGAAACTAAGTGCCAAAATTAGGCATAGTGAGTTCTGCTTGCTGACCTTGTCTAGTCGAGTCAAAATGTCTAATTAAAACCACACTTCTTGGCTGTGATGGTTTTTTTAATGACCTTGTTGACATTCTGGCTGCATCTGGGCCAGAAAAGAAAGTCTCCTCACATCTGTTTTTTCAACTTTTCAGATATATTCAGGACCATAGCTCGAACATGTTGAATAATAAATAAAGAGCTAATGAATCCAGATTCTCTACATGCAAGCTTGTTCTGAATATGTTTAAGCTTACATTTGTCCTAATACTCACCAGACTGTCAAGAATTTGCATTTAAGAAGAAATCTTCAGCACTGCCACACTGCCTAGCAACTGCTGAAAAATAAAATCTTGATCTAGCATTGAAATGCTTAGTAGTAGAAGTAAACTTCTGCCCAACTCCCCCTAGAACAGTGTTTCTCAACCTGGGGGTTGGGACCCTTGGGGGGGGGTCACAAGAGGGTGTCAGAGAGGTCACTAAAGACCATAAGAAAACACAGTATTTTCTGCTGGTCATAGGGATTCTGTGTGGGAACTTTGGCCCAATTTTATCGTTGGCAGGGTTCAGAATGCTCTTTCATTGTAGATGAACTATACATACCAGCAACTACAACTCCTAAATGTCAAGGTCTATTTCCCCAAAAGTCCAGCAGTGCTCACATTTGGGAATATTGAGTATTTGTGCCAAGTTTGGTCCAGATCCATCATTGGTTGAGTCCAGGTGGATTCTCCTTTCCTGTAGTTTGAAGCCATTGTTTCATTTTATAGTCTCCAGGGCAGCAGAAAACAAGCTTGCTCCCTCCTCCCTATGACTTCCCCTTACATCAGTAGTCCTCAACCTGTGGGTCCCCAGATATTTTGGCCTTCAACTCCCAGAAATCCTAACAGCTGGTAAACTGGCTGGGATTTCTGGGAGTTGTAGGCCAAAACAAAGGTTGAGAACCACTGCCTTACATTTATATATATGGCCATCATGCCTCCTCTCAGTCTTCTCTTCTTCAGGCTAAACATACCCAGCTCTTTAAGCCACTCCTCATAGGGCTTGTTCTCCAGACCCTTGATCATTTTAGTTGCCCTCCTCTAGACACATTCCAGCTGGTCAGCATCTCCCTTAACTTGCGGTGCCCAGAATTGGGCACAGTATTCCAGGTGTGGTCTGACCACGACAGAATAGAGGGGTAGCATGAATACTAAAAAGGCTGAAATCAAAATCAAACATCCAAACCTCCCAAGTATATGCAAGTTTGGCTAATTTGCATAATCTGTCTATTGAAATTAAAACCTTTAGACAAAATCTTGAAACTGTGGGGTTGGCAATGCATAAAATCATTGTTGGTCCATTATGTTGCTCTGAAGAACATTAGTGGCAATGCTCCAATAATTTTGGCAACAACAAAACTCTTGTAAAATTTGCAAAGTAGAAAAAAACAAATAAGAACAAAATCTTAGTCATTGAATATATTAAGAAATTGAGTTCAATAAAAAATTACACTATGCAAATGGTTACATCCTTTCTTGTCTTGAAGCTTGGACATCCTCCAGCTGTCTGCTGGTGTC